CATGGGTGAGTGCCAAGAATAATGTAATATATATACTCTGGTAACAATATTGGTTTCAGCTGCTAATGTTGAGTGTTAAGTGTGAACTATTTTAAAATTGTTTTCCCTTCTTTCTCCATGCTGTGGTTTCAGGTATAGGTAGTGCGCTTCCTGGCATCTGCCAGCTGCAATCTTAAACTCTTTGATCTCTTTCATTTCTTTAATGGATCTGTCAGTGCTATTTTCATCTCTCTTCTTGATCAGGGAATTACTAACTGAGCTTCAATTTCTAGCTGTCCCACATCTTGACCTGGTCATATCTGACTTTTCCTTGCACTTCTGAGATTCCTCTGACTCCTGTGATAACCACAGTAAGGCTACTGATTCCCGCAATGACCTGGATTATATCCCTACTTGTATTCTATCTCCAGGAAAGACACTATTCTTTTCTCCTAGTTTATCCTTCTTCCTTGTAGCTGCTGTAACAATGCCACCTTCTACACAGGAAATTACTGTATTATATTTTCTTCCTTTTCCATTGTGTTTGTATCCTCATGAAGTTGTTCTTAACTTCCATTCCTGAAACTTCCTTCTCCAATGGACCACTTTCAGCTATTTTTAACACAACCCACCATCACATCGCAGATGGTTGCAATGCTCCAATGTCTCCACTGCCTCTTAACCATCCCAGATATCAAGGTTACGCCATAATTGGCTATGATTATAGCTGTCTAGCCTCTAAACTCTGGAATTTACTCCCAAAACCTCTCGGACTAACTACCTCACACTCCTCCTTTAAATAGTCCTTAAGACCTACCTCTCTGACTAGGCTTTTCATCAACTGTCTTAATGTCTCTTTCTGTGCCTTGGTGTTCTATTTCCTTTTGTCCTGCTGTCGTGAAGCCCCTTTATTACTATTGATCATACTATTTTTGATCATATGAGAGGTGCAGTAATACATCCAGACTTCCTGGCATCGCAGTTTCCACTGGAATTACTCTAGTTTGGAGATTTAAAGTAGTTTATTTGAGGGTCCTTCCAAAAAAAGCCCAGATCAGAGTTTGAGTTTAAGTTTGAAATGGGAGAGAAGGGGTTAATGACACTCTTATAGTAAGATCTTGATAGTGCGAAAGCCTGGCAGTCTAGCTTCCACAAGGCAATAAGAACTCTATTGTCAAAATATCAGCTGCTCTGTGTTTAACTTCAGGGGTCACTATTGCCATGGTAACGTGCTTGCAAAATAACATTGCAATGTGTGTTCATCCAGGTTTCCAGAGTGCTGGAATGCTGTGAGACAGCTTGCCCCTCACTCTGGAGCTCAAGTGATTACTTTTAGTTGCAGTTCGGCTTAAATTAAGGTAAAACTCCTAAAAAAATCTACTGTTTGCTACAGGGGCGCAGCATTTCCCAGAGGTTAACGTGTCGACATCTCTTCACGGTTATTCCTTTGTTGTGAGGCTGATTCCTACAAGGCTGTGACTCTTGCGGTGTCCGTTACACTTTGCTGCCTCAGCTAGGTCTTCACTTGTGGGCCTAGAAAGCAGGTCATTCACAAGGAAGGGAGTCACAGCCAAGGGCAGTCTCAAACTTTGAGAGAATTACACACTGATACGCCTTTCCCTAGAATATAGCATTGAGGATATTTACAGCAACCTGTTTAGGATTAGCTAAAACTGCAAGGATTAAATTGATTGTCGAGCAACCTATTTTGTCATTGCCATAACCACCTCGGCCATTGGAGGGAGCTGCAACATGCTTGATATATTTTACCATATGTATAACATTCTTAAATCATATTGGTATAAGGAGTGAAACAATCCTAAAACACGAAAATATGTTGTTAAACTGTACAAGTCAAATGTACAGTTCTTCAAATCTTTAAATAATGCTCGTTGTTACAAATTATTCGGAACACAAGGCTGGTTAAGAGATAGCAAGAACTGCAGATGCTGGAGTCAGAGATAGCACAGTGTGGAGCTGGAGGAACACAGCAGGCCAGGCAGCATCCGGAACGTCAACTTTCCTGCTCCTCTGATGCTGCCTGGTCTGCTGTGTTCCTCCAGCTCCACACTGTGTTATCACAAGGCTGGTTAAGTTCTTTCTCACTCGTCTCCACACTGCCTGATTTTGGGACACCGTGCCTCAATTGGTTGCAGAAATCAAAGACTTCCAGCTAACAGCGAGAAGAAATAAGACAAAATCTGTAAAAATTAAGAATAAGGACAATGTAAAATCAAAGGACGGAGCAGCAGGAACCTATATACACTAGTCATCGTGGACAAAGAAATGGCTGAAAAACTCAAACAATCCCTGCCTCCCAGGCCTATCAGAGAAAGAGCTGAAGTAAGCAGCTGAAATCTCTAGATGTTGCTCAGATTTTATTGATTTCTTTTTAAAAAGCTACAAGAACTGGGGGAAAACACACAAAACTACCAGTAGCAGTTTTGTAGCACCTTTCTCATAAGAAAATGTCTGAAGGCAATTCATAGAGATAGAATCGGGCAAAAGTTATTAGTGAGGGTAACTAAAGCTCGGACACAGAGCTGAATGTTAAAGACATTTGTAAAGCAATGGCAGGAGAAGCAGAAGATTGAATGTTTCAGAGCACAAGGATTTAGTATCTGAAGGCAAAGTTGTCAGTTTTGGGATGTAGGAATAGAGAAAGACAGGAAGGTCAAGGTAAGGGGCGGTTGGAAAGTTGGGCAAGAGGAATTTTTTTTATTTATTCACTTGTGTGATGTGGGCATCGCTGGCTGGCCAGCATTTATTGTCTGTCCCTGGTTACCCTTCACAAGGTGGTGGTGAGCTGCCTTCTTAAACTGCTGCAGTCCACATGCTGTAGGTTGACCCCCAGTGCCCTTGGGGGGAATTTCCAGGGCTTTGACCCAGCAACACTTAAGGAGCAGCAATATATTTCTGAGTCAGGATGATGAATGATTTGGAGGCGACCTTGCTCGTGGTGGTGTTCCCATGTAGCTGCTGCCCTTGTCCTTTTAGATGGGAATGATTGTGGTTTGGAAGTATTGAGGGGAGGATGCGGGAGATGTTGATAGAGGTGCCATAGAGCTGAAGAAAGTTACAGAGCTGCAGAGGGACTAGACCACGAAGGGATTGAAACAAGAAGCTGAGAATTTTAAGTTGAAGGCAATGGAGCAGCAGCATTGAGCAGTCAGAGTTCAGCTTGCAGTCAAATGGAACATTAGTATTGTACACAGTCTGGTTCAACCTGAGACAGTGACCAGAGAAAGGAAGAGATCATACCGAGCTTGTATCCTGCTCTCCAATGCGGATTTTCATTGCTGCACCATTGATGGCTATGACTTCCTGTAGCTAAACCACAGCTCTGTGAACCTCTCACTTCTACCGTTCTTTAAGGCACTCCTTGAAAACCTACCTCTTTGACTGAAACTTTTGGTCACCTGCCCTAACATTTCCTTACGTGGTTTGTCCTCAATTCTGGTTTAATTATTGCTCCAGTGAGGCATTCTTAGGCATTTAACTGTGCTAAATAGTGATGGTAGGAGATGGCAGAGTCTTTACAGAATTGGACTATATAAAATTGCAGCTTGTCCCTTTCTGGATGATGGACAAAGGGTTTGACAATACAGAGGTAGTGGAGGATCCAAGAGAAGAACAAAGAGAAAAAAGAGCTGAGTGTGATCAGTTTATTTATTAAATCTGGCCCCTTTTTAAAACTCATTCACAGGATGAGGATATTGCTGGCTAGACTGGCATTTATTGCCCATCCCTAATTGCCCAGAGTGCGGTTAAGAGTCAACGACATTGCTTTGGGTCTGGAGTCACATGTAGGCCAGACCAGGTAAGGATGGCAGTTTCAGACAGTCAACAGTGATCATCATTAGACTCTTAATTCCTCGTATTTATTGAATTCAAATTCCACCATCTGCTATGGTGGAATTTGAACCCAAGCCCCCAGAATCTTACCTCTCTGGATTAACAGTCCAGTGATAATACCATCAGGCCATTGCCTCCAATGATGTTATCAAGAGGTAATGGGTAGACGAGGAAAGGACAAAGTATATAGCCTTGAGGAATGCAATAGTTAATATAATAAATTAGAATATCTTTCAAGTTGCCTGATGTTCGTTTTTAATAATTCACTTTCATGGAATGAGCCACAGATCATGAGATGACCCACCCAGCAGTCTGTTTTCTCATTTCCCAAAAGTTGTCCGTAGTTTTTCAGTTGATAAATATATCCTGCATTTGGAGGTAGTTGGGACAGGAGAGGCATTCATTTTAATTTGTGAACTTAGGTAATGTATTCTCCAAGATAGTGTATTAACTGGTGAGGTTTGCATAAAAAATAATGTTTACCTGTTTGATATTTGGTAGGTGTTACAATGAACAATCTGAAAGAGGTGATCTACAGAGTTCATCAGATTGATAAATTTATTTCAGAAAACAACATCCAGGAGATAAAATTCCTTCTGAATGTTTTTGAGGGCATTCCTGTCACCCCTGAAATTCTGCAAGATACTGACCTCGTTAGAACTGTATACAGAGTTTTAAAGACTTGTTCTGATGCAGATACCAAGAGGAAAGCTCGGAACCTACTGTCTGCATGGAAGAAGCTTTATAGGAACAGTGGCTTCCAGGCAAAATGTCCAGAAGACAGATTCTGTGCCTCCAGCAAAGAAAAGAGTGAGAAGACAGATAAAATTAATGAGGGTACATTAAAGTCTGATCTGAGTGCAGCTGACTCTGTGAGTGGAAAGCCTGAACAGCAATCAGAAGACAACCAGATAAAAGAAATGCTTCAAGAAACACACAATGAAAAGCAACTTTCATCAAGCCCAGGTTCAGTAGTAATTGGCTGTAGTGCAGCTCCAGTTAAGCAGCCTGCATTTATTACCCAGGCCATGCGGGCTAAGTGCGTAGAGCTTCTTTTCCAAGCTCTGATTGGTTCAGAAACAACTGACGAAAGAGTGGTTGAAATGTGGCAGAGTATTGCCAACAAAGTGGAGCGGTGTATATATACATTACACATGAACAATGATAAAAGGTATAAAACTTGCATTCGAAGCAGGATTGCAAATTTAAAGAACCCAAAAAATCCCCATTTAAGGCGAAAAATATTATCAGGGGAAGTAACCCCCCAAATGTTTGCAGAGATGTCAGTGATGGACATGGCAAGTGAGGAGCTGAAACACCTAAGAGCATCATACACCACCTCTGGGCTTCAGGAGCATTATCTACCTCATGAGCTGGAAGGAACAAAGACCAACAAAATCAGATGCAAACGGTGTGAGAAATTTAACTGTACGGTGACAGCAATTGCCAGGGGCACACTTTTTCTTCCAGGTTGGGTGTGCAATGGAAATTCTGATGAACAGATGATGACTTTTGTCATTTGCAATGAATGTGGAGAAAAATGGTATAATAGTGGCTGGATTTCTGTTTAGATATGTCATAAGACCATAGGGGATTTGACTTATTTATTTTCTATCTAACAGCTAGTGACTATGTGTCTGTCAACAGTTATGTACTAGATATTGAATAAAATAACAAAATCCATGACCTGTTTACCAATAAAAGCTCTCATAAAGTACCGAGGAACCATTGTCTGAATTTACTTTTCTCCTGTGAGAGTTAGTTCTCTTCATACTCCTGAATCGTATTATGTTTTCAAGAACAATGCATATCCTTGAAGTCCAATATTTGATGTAGATTTTCAACTTGGATAGCTGGCAAAAGATTGCAGTGTGATATTATATTGTTTATTTAGACTTCAAATCAGTTGGCTGAGAGTTGCTATGACTACTGTCATAACAATAAGAGGGACATAAAGAAAGATCATTGGATGAAATTAAAGGGAATGTACATTCCTGAAAATGAGACTCAGAAACTGAACTTAATGTGTGATATGAAAGTGTGAGAGGCAATAAGAAGTACAACAATGAAATGTGACAGGCAAAAGTAAGCACCAAATAACTGAAATTCACTAACTCTCCCTGACTGGAAGTAACCAATAACGCTGTCCAAATTTTGAGGGTGTTATTTAAATATCTTCTTGCACACTTTCTTCCCTTTAGGGAATAGTGGGCAAGTGTTGGAATGATTTTCAGGCTGATTATTAACCTGTTGAACCACAAGATATACACACCTTCCATGGCCATTCAAGTCCTGGAGTGGGACCAAACACAGAGCTTCTGGCTCAGACAGGATCATTACTCATTGAGCTATGAGACCTCCTACATTGGGATTTGGATATTAGCATTAACACGGCAGTGTAAGCATTTGTTACTCAAGATCAGAGAAGTCAGCTGTCACCAATCTCACTTTTGACACTCCATCCATTCCAATCCCTTCACGGTCCTGCATTGCACTATGTTTATATTCTCCTCTAGACCTGGAACCCTGTAACAACCCTGCATTGCACTAATTCAGATCCCTCACGCATTTTCCATTTTGTTTGCTTACCATTGATGTACAGACCTTATGCCAGGCCCTAAGCATTGGAACAAAAGGACTGGAGAAACTCAGCAGGTCTGGTAGCACCAGTAGATAGAAAAGTAGAGTTAACATTTCAAGTCTATTGACCCTGAACTTTGGATTCTGTTCACAAACTTGCAAGTTTGCGGTGTTGGATTGCTGTTATTTATTTGCCCTGCATTGGCTCAGTTGCTATTTATCTAAATTCACACCTGAGAAGCACCCTTATATTAAAAGTGTTAAATGCAAATGTTCATTGAAATAAATAACTGTGTTGTGTTGCACAAGTATAGAATATCTCAGGCAACAAACAACACAACTCCAGTTCTGGTGAAGGTACTGTATGCTATCAAAGGAATCAATTTCAACATCTTACTGGCTCTGAAACCAGTCATACCACTTACTTTAAACACAATTGCCCAAGGTTGCATGATGAAAATTCATCCACTCCCATGCAGGGTCGGCCCACAATCATGCAATACTGATAAAAGTATTTCTGGCACTGAATTACTAAAACCATTTGAGGTCAGAGTCCTAGGCTAAGTCCTAGGTGCGATTTCCTTCCTTGTTAGTTACAACAGTTGAACGGCATCACAAATTTCTAACTATCTGCATGTTCAGTTTTCGAGTATGTGGACTTATTGGAATGAAAAACAATTTTTAGTTTCTAATAATGTCACTGTAATGCCCAGAGGGGCACTTCTAAATTGTTTTCCTTATTTAAAAAAATTCTCTTGCTTAAATTTTTCCAACATGGACTCCTGCTGGAATTCTAAAATGGCTGCTATCAAATGTGGAGGGCTGAATGTTACTTCTTTTATTAGCTCAGTCTGGGTTGGGTCGAGTATTTTACTGTGAAGTCTAGTGAGATTTCTCACCCTACCTTGCCATTCTTGCCTCATTAATTAGCCAAACGGGCATTGTGCATTTCCGATTTCCATCCCGTCTTATCACTTGTTGTTCCTAAAACAACTCACCACTCAGCATATATCTGCCAAACACTGGCAACCATTGTGCCCTCACCATATTTAAAAGGGGGCTGTGCACCTAGGTGAGCACGATCGTTTCCATGCTGCCCTGCCTTAGTCAAGGATGAAATATGAAGATATCAGAGAGGGGAAAGGTAGCACTGCGATTCTCTGACAGGGACCTGAGCCCTTGTGATGGAATGGTCCAGAGGAGAAGACACTGCCCACCTGGTCAGAGGCCATCTCCATGGTATGGAAGGTGCCAATACGTTTGTCAGAGAGCACTTTATTCTGATGGATGCTGCACAAATAAAATCACCTGATGTAAGTGTTGTATGATCAATGATACAATTACTGGTCAAGATGGTGGCTGAGTAGGTTGCTCCAACCGGAGCTCCTTCATTCCTATTATTTCTCGTTTCCTTTTCTTTTTTTACTCTTTTTTCCCTCCTTTCTTGGCGTTTTTCCCCCTCTTGGTGTTCACCTCCCCCGTGGCATGTCTCGACCTGGTCTCTCAGCAGCTCAAGGCAGGTCCCAGCCTGGTTTCTCAGCGGCTCATTGCAGGTCCCAGCCTGGTTTCTCAGCGGCTCATTGCAGGTCCCAGCCTGGTCTCTCAGCAGCTCAAGGCAGGTCCCAGCCTGGTTTCTCAGCGGCTCATTGCAGGTTCCAGCCTGGTCTCTCAGCGGCTCATTGCAGGTCCCAGCCTGGTCTCTCAGTGGCTCATTGCAGGTCCCAGCCTGGTCTCTCAGCGGCTCATTGCAGGTCCCAGCCTGGTTTCTCAGCGGCTCATTGCAGGTTCCAGCCTGGTCTCTCAGCGGCTCATGGCAGGTCCCAGCCTGGTCTCTTGGGGCTCATTGCAGGTTCCAGCCTGGTCTCTCAGCAGCTGAAGGCAGGTCCCAGCCTGGTCTCTCAGCGGCTCATGGCAGGTCCCAGCCTGGTCTCTCGGCAGCCCTCAGCCTGGACCCGTGGTGGTATATTGGCTGGTCTCTCAGTGGCTCATGGCAGTGTCTTGGCTCAGTGTGCGAGTGGATCCTGCCCAGGAATGTTCTCGAGGCAGTGGGAGAGATCGGAGAGGTTGCAGTTCCATTAGCAGTGATGGTATCTGTGACGGTGGCGTTGAGAACAGACAACTGAGGTCTCTCCAGAGAGTGAGATAAGCAGAGGACTCATCAAGGACTGTTGAACTTGTAACTTACTCCTTTATTTTCTTTGTTTAATGTAAACTATTACCTATTTCTTTATTTTTCTACTATTCTATGAAGTAATACTTAACGTTTTAAATCTTGTTTCTCTTACTACTGAGTACCTAAGTTTTTTGTACCAAGGTACTTTGGTACCTAAGATGGTGCTATGTTTGGCGACATTATACACTTTTCACTATACTCCTGTAATTAAAATCTAAAATTTAAAAAAATCTAAATCTAGGCCAGTTTTCTCGAGAATTTAGAAGGTGATCTGATCAAGGTCTTCAAGATAATAACAGCAAAAGACAAGGTAGTTAAAGGTAGACTATTCCCACTGGTTGGGGATTCCCGAACTAGGAGGACATAGTCAAAAAAATTAGGACCAGACCATTCAGGAGAGATGTTAGGAAGCACTTTTACGCAGAAAGGATGATAGAGGTTTGGAACTCTCTTCCACAAATGGCAATGGGTACTGGATCAGTTGTTAATTTTAAATCAGAGATAGATAATTCTTTGTTAAGTAAAGCTATTAAGAGATATTGCCAGAGGCAAGTATATGGAGTCAAGCAACAGTTCAGCCATGATCTCATTGAATGGTAGAATGACTTGAGGGGCTGAATAGCCTACACTTGCCCCTATGTTCCTATGTTGCTTCTCTTGAGTGATGGTGGGGTTGAAGGGGCTGACAACGGGTAAGTAACATTCGCACCACACAAATGCCAGGTGATGACCATCTCCAATAGGAGACAATCTAGTTGCTAACCCTTGACGGTATGGTATTTCCATCACTGAATTCCCCAGTATCAACATCCTGGGGGTTACCATTGACCAGATGGTGCCGTGCTGCTCCTGGTCAATTACCATTGACCAGGGGCAGCACAGTGGCTCAGTGGTTAGCTCTGCTGCCTCACAGCACCAGGGACCAAGGTTCGATTCCACCCTCGGGTGACTGTCTGTGTGGAGTTTGCACATTCTCCCCATGTCTGCATGGGTTTCCTCCGGGTGCTCCGGTTTCCTCCCACAGTCCAAAGATGTGCAGCTTAGGTAAATTGTCCATGCTAAATTGTCCATAGTGTTCAGGGATGTGTAGATTAGATGGGTTTATTGGGGGATGGGTCTGGGTGGGATGCTGTGAGGTTCGGTGTGGACTTGTTGGGCCGAAGGGCCTGTGTCCACACTGTAGGGAGTCTATGAATTCTATGATAACTCTATGAGAAACTCAACTGGAATAGCCATATAAATCCAGTGGCTACAATAACAGGTCAAAAGCTAGGAATATTGCAATTAGTATTAGTGGAGGTTATGGCCTAGGGGGATTATCACTCCACTATTGATCCACAAACTCCACAGCAGATAGTGGAATTTGAATTAAATAAAAAAATTAGCTGGAATTAAGAATCTACTGATGAGCATGAAACCATTGTCAATTGTTGGCAAAACCCCATTTGGTTCACTAATGTCCATCAAGGAAGGAAATCTGCCATCCTCACCTGGTCTGGTCTACATGTGACTCCAGAGCCACAGCAATGTGGTTGACTCTCAACTCTCTGGGCAATTAAGGATGGACAATGAATGCTGACCTAGCAAACGATGCCCACATCCTGTAAGCTGGAAGTCCAGAAGAACAAGTGGTGGACTGGAACTGCCATGCTTCCACACTGACTACTGCCGTATAGTTTCTATCCACATGTGGGAGCATATCTGTGAGGCAAGATGAGGTATTAAAGGCATGTAAATAGGCTTTCACCATCACTAATGAGATTCTTGACTCCGTTTAAAACCTGGCTGTAGAATTTGATTATTTTTTTCCCTTGACGTGGAGAATCTCTCTTCTTCTGTTGTGCCATGTTTTCCAATATCAATAGAAGGTGAATGGCAAAAGATCTAACATCAACTTAAGAAAAAGTTTTTCTACATAGTGATTGGTTAGGATCTGAAATACACTACCGAAGAAGACACAAGATTTTAA